AGTAAAAGTTTGGTATTACTTTGGTCTTGTTGTAATGCGGAAGCCGAGTTGGCCTCGTTACAACACCGAGCTGTCAGTGCTACTGACCTGAGCCCGGAAGCAAAAGCGCTGACCGCTGAGTCGGCAACGAGGAAGCGACTCCGCACGATAAAAGGCCCGCCCTTCCGATAAGCGACGGGCAGTCTAATAACCAAGCGCGTACCGCGAGTCAACGTATCAATAGTATAATTATCAACCCGCAAGTTAGGGTAGTGAAATAATTGATTCAAGTGTAACTACGAGAAATCTGTTTTATTAAACGCCTTTGCAACCACTATCTCGCGAATGTTGTCTTCTCTACCTCCCAATCTGCGGATCCAAAGAACCCGGTGCCGGCCCTAAACTCCAATTCAAAGGCGCGGCACAACAAATTGGTGGCAGCGGTGGGATTCGCTAACCGGACGAGAGGACATCCTGCCAGACTTACGCCTGCAAAAAGGAGCGGATCATCAAAAGGCGGTAAAGCATCCCGGAGAGGAACAGCCAGCCAGATCCAGAGCGAGAGAAGCCACGGTAGCAGCCGATGAATGTTATCTACGACACCGGAGAGGGCCACAACCTACCGCACGGACTCACCAGCCCGAGCAGCGGAGCAGCGAAGCACCGAGGCAGCGAAGCCGCCCAGCGGACGACGACTCAGCGGAAAGCGAACACCATGCGTAGCGCGGTGTTACTGTAAGTCCGTTCTATGTTTTAATAAAATCCGCGCGAAATAGGGAAACGGACTGCGAACGCCGAAAATAAACTTCGCAACCTGCCGACGATATAAGCGTGAGCGCCGATAGATATCGGACAACTTATCCCGGCATCCCTCCATCAGCAACGCGTCCTTCGTGCTTAGCGAGCGCGCGCGACAAGCGATCGAAAATAGCATTCAAAATCCCCTTCGCGCCGCACGACTTCGTTTACGGACAACGAAGCCTTAGACCGCGTACGACGGAATTTAGACGCGCAACTTGCCGACGATAATACGCCGGTGCTCGAATTACACCCCAACGTCATATTAGAACGTGAATTCGCGTTTTTAGACGCTAGCCTCTGTAACGCGAACGAAGACCCGTGAAATAGTACAGCTAACGAAAGCGGTGACAAAAACAGTGACGATCACGACCGTGACGCACGCAGACTGCCCCGATCGAAGGAGACGCACGATTGGACACCTT